AGCCGCACAGATCTGCACGGGGTCATCGAACAGACACCTGGGGGAAGGCAGAACCGTCACCTGCACCGCCATCCCAGCTCTGCTGCCGGGGAGAGGAGCCGCTCTCTGTTTGGTTTTTTTTTTGGTGGTGAGACACGGGCTGGGTGAAAGAGGATCGTCAGGAGCCTGTCGCTTCTCAGACTTCAAATCTCTGCCCAAAGTCCAGGAGGAACCACTGTGACCGCTTCCTTCAGCCGGCGAGCACGGGCTGCTGGGAGGCGTAGTCCAGAGCGCGCCTCCCTCCAGACACTCCGGCGCAGAGGTGGTACAATGACACCATCCACTCGCATAGGCACAGGCTGTCATTTGCTCCTGGCGTGCGGGCTTAACTTTTGATTATATAGAGAGACTAAATTAAAAACCCCAAAGCGACAAAAGCAGATACTCAAATCGCCTTCACCCCCAGCACCCCCCCACACCCCCCACACCCGTGGGACAGCCCGGATTCAACGGCAGAACTGGCTTGGGCGCTTTTCCAAGGCACAGTGAACGCAAACAAGCTGGAAAGCCTGAAGTAACGTGACATCTTAATCTAGCCGTGAAACAAAGTCTCCCCTGAATCCCTCTTCAGTTTTCAGCAATTGTTGGACAAGCACCACAAGGTAAACTTATGCCTTATGCTTTAAATGTATTTCTTTAAAAAAGAAAAGAAACAGGCAAAGTAAAAGAATCATTTTTTTTTTTCTTCACAATAATCAATCTTGTCTAAAGGGTATCTACATTTTCCCAATTAATACGTGGAAAATAAACTTACCCCCATACCACTAATATTTCTAAGGAACTGTTTGAAGATTTGATGATAAATACCAACTTTTGGTTTTGATAAACAACATACTACATTTTTGCAATGTCTGTGTATTAATAGCCATCTAGTCCTATGGGTCCCAGACACGTGATTAGTCTCATCCCGTTCTGTGGAAATACAGGTGGGAATTAAGGCTCCTGATTCACACAACTCACCTGACCATGCATTAGTCAGCAATTAGTGGCAAAGGACTGAAACAAGCAATGAGGCCACAAGCTGCAGAATCACATGTCATGCCACAAGACCACAGGTGATGTGCAGATTGACTGTAGATCTGGCAAAGCAACTCTAAAATTCCCATTCAGCATGTAAGAGAATGCAGCTACATTTAAATACAACGGTGAAAAGAAAGAAAAAAAAAACCAGCAATAAAAACATGTAGCTTAACATGAAAAATAGCCAGCATTAACTTTTGCATGTCTTCCTAGATGTCCTCCACCCATCACATCATTTGGAAAAAAAGTAATAAATTAGAACAGAAATAAGCATTTAAACTGACCTTTTATTGCAGAAGTTGTAATTTCTCACCATCAAAACATGACAGCCACTGAACTTAGTGAATTACAACTGGAAAGGCCTTTTGCCTTAAGCAGAACGCGTGCATGTGTTGGACTGATGCAGCCTGATGCACAGGTGGGTGGCAGAGCCGATTCTTCCTTGTCCCTTGGGTTGTTATGAAAACAGTCTGTAGATCTAAACAAACAGTCATGGCTTCTCTTTTGGGATTTCCACAGCCTGGATTGCCTCCCTTCAAATTTGACTTTGCTCACCGTCACTGAGGCAACATGCAAAGATCTAAAAATGCTTTTGTCAAACCTTCTACTTACAAGTCAAAAAAACCCAGCCAATTGATCTGGACTCTGAAATCAAGCAAATAGCCATGATCCGTTTGACAGACGTTGTTGAGGATAATTTAATGTTCAGTTCTTTTCAATTAAATCATGTTTGTACTCCAGTCACAGATGCTGATTGTATCACACCAGAGAGAAAGATCACAAGCTCGAGTCCCCCACCTCTGCTATAACGCTTTCACCGCTTTTGTGAGACAATCTAGTAGTTGATAATAGCTGTACTTAAGGTCGTATTCCATATCATACCAATAATTCACTGAGGAGACAAGAAAAGGGGAAAACATTTCTAAGGTTAGAATGTAATGATTTATAACCGTGTTCATAGACTGTTTTACACAGTTTGGCTTTCCCTTATTACTGACTGAAATTTGAAATGAGCAAAACTTTGACTACAGCCAAAAATAACATAAGCAAACACTAGAGTTCTTTAACAGTGCTGCCAATGCAACTCTGTCTGAGCCCAAACCAAATCCTCTTCAGATTCTACACTGGGGACTCCTTGGAGCAGAAGCTGGCAAAAATTTTAGGAAAATGTATGCTTCTACTTAGATCAAAAATACCAAATGCAGTGCAAAGTTTAATATCTCGATAGGATTCTCCGAGTATGTAAAGGATGGCAAATTCACCACTACTTCACAATGGTGATCAATTACACAGTGCTTTAATTTGGCTTCTCATTTTAATTTTGGTGTACGTCTGCTAGAAAAAATAAGCCAAGCAGTCTAATATTGTAGCAATGGTTCTTGGAGGAGGATATACTCCAGCTTCAGTCATCCGCTGGACCAGACCCAGAGAATATTGATTTTTCAAGTGTATACAGACTGCAGTGCAGTTCACAGACCAAAGGCCAAATAAACTCGGCAATTTTTTAGCATTTCTGCTAGACAGAGAAAAAGAGAGTGGCCGGGGGCTTGCAACTGGAAACAACTCTGCTTTTTCTAAAAAATCTTCAAGGACTGATGCAGCAATACTGGGAAAAGGGATGAGAAATAGTGCTTTACTGCTTGCTTGTCTTTTTACCACAGTATCACAAATACTGAAGAAAAGAAAATGCCTTGCAGTATTTGCAGTGTTACACAAATAATAATGTTACGTTGTTTAGAATACTTTATTTACTCTGCCTGGACAGACAGAATTATTTCAGGTAAAGGACAGCAAAAAACTCTTCCTCAAGCCTTGCAAAACTCACAGGACATAATGATAACACTTTGCACCACCCCCCAGCTCCACCTGCACCAAGTGAGCTATGCTTGAAATTCTGGAAATTTCTTGGGGAAAAAAAAACAAAAAAAAAAAGATAGAGAGAGATGATGATAAATCCTACAAAGAGAGAGGTGACGTGTCTTTTGATAAGTATGGGGGACCAATAGCACAAGCATAGGCGTATTAGCAAGGTAAGACACTGGGTCGGAGCAGATTGCAGCTCACATGACATGTTGTGTCTACATCCATGCCTACAACTCATACACTTTCTGGTTTCCTTTTCTTCCCCTGGATCCTTTTGTGCTGATGTGATAATGGCACACACAACATGCAGTTTCTTTATGAAAGGTACGCAGATGACCAATTTGCAGTTAGCAGGTTAGGCAGACAAACTGCTTAGCTCCATGTCATAAACAGAAACTGGATCATGATCACGGAATGAGCTATCCTTCTCCAGACTTGACAAGTAGAAACATTCCTAGCACTTGTCAACAATGCTATGAATTATAAGCAAAAGAGACTGCACGGATATAGCCCCATGGCATCTGTCAAGATTGCTATTTCCTCCTGAGGGGAGGTAGATGATCTTTAAGTGGCCTTTGGTCCCAGTTATGCTTTGCTGTGGGATATCTAGCTGCACACCCACCACAGTTCAAAAATGTATCTGGAAATACTGTGTATTTTACCTGCTATACAGCCATGTGATTGCTGAACATGATGGAACCAGAGAGAAGGCAGGTATAACATCTCACCAGCTTTCACCGTACACTGCAAAGGTTTTGCCTGAGCGTACTCTGGATACTGTTCCAGATTTGGATTCAATGGGTCCAGGGGTATCCAGGGCACCTAAAAGCAGAAGAGTAGGTGTATGGTACTGACCCTGGCAAAAAATTCCAGCAAAAATTCCAGAAAAACAACTGATAACCAAACTTACTACGTTACAAAACATGTATTTTGCCTAGCTAAACCCGTACAGCTACACAGCTTTCCACATTCAACTCAGAATAGGTCAAGGATGCAAAAATTTGCCTCCTTCAGCATTTCTAATTAGGGAAAAGGTGCTAAATGTCAGTCACGAAATTTCACTCTCATGGCATACTTTCAAAACACCTCCAGCCCCTGAAGTCACTTGTTCCTCCTACATTCAGTACTTTAATATTTCATCTGCACCACTCTTCTTAGAAGTTCCCTTCTTCTTCTAAAACTCTCTGGTCTAAAACTTCCCCTCCTGCTGGGAAATCCCTCTTGTCTGTATTCATTTCTTCTGCACCCTACGGAGTTATAAACCTCAGCGCTCTACCTTACTGTGTTACAGGAATGCTCCCATGAGATTCCATGGGCACCACTCTGGAAACAGAGAAAAAGACCCAGCTCAAGTTCAGCTGTAGCATTAGTCACACATTACAGAGGCAAAAGGAGAGAGATTAGATACAAAAAGCTACTGAGTTGTTGTGAAGTGCCTCTAGATCTATAGATTTTAATCAAATAAATATTGATACTACTAAGAAAACACAATTTATCCATTGAGATAGATATGTTTTATAGCACAGGGTGATACCACTGTATAGCAAAATCCAGCCCTGAGAAGTCTTAATCCGTGCAGAGAAGTCTTAATGAAATCAGTTCCTTTATTGTTGATACATTTAAAAGTCCTTTACTGGATCTATTTAAGTTTGGTGCAAGGAAGACAGTTTATGCTATCAATGGTTTCAGATACGTAGTAAAAATCTTTTCTGGAACCTAGATATCCTTCGCAAATAGGATTTCTAAGTATCAATCAATATGCTCAGTTTGAGGGCTCAGCAGTGCCCAAAACTATCTTTACTGTATTGATTGTGTTCTTTAGATACTTTTTACCTTTTCCTCACTCTTCTCATCCACAATTTCAAATGAGCCATCTTCTGACACCTGGTAGGTTGCTGGCTGATAGAGCTCTGGAACCACAGAAAGAATTAAATGGCACAAATCAGAGTAGTACTCAGAGAAACTAATGGCAGGGCGTGTCACACTTTAACCAAGTAGAAGAAAAATTAAGCCAAAACCATTTTCAACTTACAGTCCTCGGTATCCTTCTCTTTGTCCATTTCAATTTTAACCAGTTTCTTTATTATTTTTTTTTTAAGTCAGTCTGAATACTGAACTGCCTTCCTGCTTGGAATTCCAATCTTCTTTCTTCACAGGAATTACTCTCCTCAAACCCCATTTTACTCCTAGTCCTATTTTGTGCCAGTAACTGTCTTGTTTCCCTTTTGGAAGTCATAAACGCATCCCTGACTTACACATTGTTCTATGTTCTGCCCTTTCTTCTTAGGTCAGTCTAGCAAGATAGCACTCACAAGAGTTATTACTGACTTGCAGCCAGCCTTTCACTTCTAATTTTATCTTATAAGGCTCATCAACTGCTTCAGGTACTGCAGGTTGCTTTTGTTCATTGCTTCAGCACATGTAGTTTTCTAAGCCCTCCCTTGAGAGAGTTTCTCTCCATTAACCTGAAGTTCAAAGAGACGGAGTCGTCTTTTTACTATACACTGTAAAATATAAGCATTATCTCTGTTCTACGCTTTAACAGTAACTTGTTTTACAAAGTGTGACTCACATGATATACATGTATTTCATGCAGCCACATACATATGACACCACCCCTCCTATGAAGAAAGGCTGAGACAGATAGGGATGTGCAGCTTGGAGAAGAGAAGGTTCTGGAGAAACCTTATTGCGGCCTTTTAATACATAAAGGGAGTTTACAAGACAGAGAAAGACTTTTTACCAAGGCCTGTAGTGACAGGACAAGGGGCAACAGTTTCAACCTGAGAGAGGGTAGATATAGATTGGCTATAAGGAAGAATTTTTTTATGATGAGGGTCGTGAGACACTGGAACAGGTTGACCAGAGAAATTGTGGATGCCCCATCACTGGAACTGTTCAAGGTCAAGCTGGATGGACCTTTGAGCAACCTGATCTAGTGAATGGCAGGAGGGATGGACTAGATGATTTAGAAGTCCCTTCCAACCCAAACCATTCTATGATTCACATAGATTCAAGGTTGTAAACAAAATAAAACCAGTGTAAGTAAAATACTGTAGCAGTGTACATGTCTAGGCAAAAGTATATTAGTGCTATATAGCACTCTGCATTCACTTAATCTGATGATTTGAAAGTCAAGGAATGGGAAAATAAAGTCTTATTTTATGGGGCATAAAGTTAAGCTGTCTGTCTTCTAGATAACACTGCAGTATAACAAGCTATTACTGTGCCCACAGGAAAGCAATATAAAGAAACAGAAAATGAGTAATGCAAAGTAATGCTGCCATAAGAATCTCTTTTTTCATTTCTCCAGTTTTCAGAGATTCAGTTAGTAACCTGAATATTTCATTAAATTACAACTTATTTTTCAACTTCCTGGCTTTTTTTCCTAGAGAAAAGAATAAGCATGCAGAATCCAAACCTGTTAAACATCAAAGATGACATGCTACAATATTGAAAAGATACTTAAATAATTTAAATATTCTAAAGCTGAAGAGACTGCCGTGAGTGTCAATGAACCCATTACTTTACAGGACTGGAAAACCTGACCTCAGAATGTTCATATTACAAACTACCTGCAGCACAACACAGAAGAGGTTTCTGTTCACAGTGGAACTCATGACACTGCATAAACATCAAAATCTTATCTCTGTTTCCTCTTTCATATATTTCAATATTTTAGTCTCTCCTCCTTCCAACCTCCAGACACACTGCATAGTAAATTATGTACCATATGGGATGAAGGGACGGTCACTCGGTGGATGCAGTAGAAAATGTTTCTCTCCAGATATCACACAGTACAAGTTCTCATAATGATCTTTATGTACTAGGATTGAGAAAAAAAGAGAGATGTGGAGAAAGAGAGAAAATCAGCATTGTTTCCTTCTCTACATCAGAAACTATAGTAAACTAAAAGTGTTAGCTTGTCCTTATTATCAGGTTGCTTCCTCCTCTTGCAGCCAGTGGGAGTGGAAAGTAACAATATAATATTGTAGCAAATGTATTCCATGAAGGAAATTACCAGTGCCTTGCCCAACATAATGTCACGCAGATACACCCAGAGACGCAGCAGCAAGAGGCTGCAGAAGTGCAGGAGAAAGAATGCAAAAAAAAAGCATGTTAAGTAGAACTGCCTTGTCAGAAAAAAAACATGCAGTCCCACTGAGCCCCTAACTCAAAACAAGCCTGCTTCAGCCTGCGCTGAAAGCACACCGAAGACTTACAGCACTGTACGATACGTACAAGATGTCACAGCAGCTGATTCGCCAAGCCAGAAATTCACAGCATCCGGCTTCTTCCCTGTACAGTTAATAGAGGAATGTTGTCAACAAAAAAAGAATTTCAACTGTCATGTTTAAAAGCATTTCAAATAATTTTCTGCCAAATTCTGTCCTTTAACTTCCTTCGTAACTATGACAGACTTCATTGCAAGTAGCACTCTGCGAGTAGCAGCAACCTTCTATGCTGGAAACCACTGTAAGTGCCCATCATACATCATGGCATACCCTCCCCAAACTGATGGTTACAACATTCTGAATCCCTAAGACTTAGCTCACACAGCAACTGCAACACATCTACACACAGCTGCAAAAAGAAGGTGAGATCACAAATCATTTGCATGGACACTTTAAGGAAAGACGTGCTGTGAAATAGAAACCAATGGAAAGAGAACAGTGTTTAACTAGAAAAAAAAATCTGTAATTTTATCAGAGGAGGTGGGGACTGTGTGTTGTTTCACCCACTTGTTATGCTAGCTTTGGTAGTAACAGCATGAATCTGTGTTGAAACATGACTCTAGATCAGAGAAAAGTCACTATATGAAAAGAAGCGTTATAGGGACCTATCATCACATTGTTTCAGTTGAGAAAAGCCACTATATGAAAAGAAGTGCTACATGAAACTATCACATTGTTTCAGTTGTGATGGTCCCAATACACAACTGAGATACTGACTCTGGAGTAACCCAAACCCAAAACTTGGATGACTCCTATTGTTAAGTATTTTACCACTTACGCTTTCTAAGGGCATGAAACCAAACCAAGCTGTGTCATCCAGAAACAGAACAAACACTCACCATGTACCAGCATGATCGTTTCAAAGCTCCATACAAAATATTTACTGAATATAGGAGAAATAGAAGGTTTACCAAGTGCCTCACTCATCCATGGAATGTCAGGCTGCACATCACAGACAAGTTCAGGGAACTCCTCGGTGAGGTTTGAACACTGCTTCTGCACATAGAATACGTTGGGAGAGGTCACTTTCTTCTCCACGATGTCCAAAAAGTCCATGAAAGGCATGCGGCGCTCCTCTGGCATGACAAAACGGTCCTGAAACACCGCATCTGCATAACCATTTGGTGTTACTGCCACACTCACTACCTTGGGACCTACTACCTCCCTGCAAAACAAATCAAAGGTTTATAGCCAGACCTGCAATTGGCCCATATATTGGACACTGGTTACTTTAAAAAGAACGTGTTTCATGGGCAGCAAAAATAAGAAGGCTGGCTTTCCATGGCTGGGTGTCTCTAGACTAGGTTTTCTACTGTCTGATAAGGCCTCTGGCATTCTGCTCTGATTGCTCCCTGTGGTCAAGGCAACCGTAGTGTCTTTCACCTCTCTAAATTCTCTTGTCAAGTCTACTAGGTGAGCCCACAAAGGAGCTCCCTTTCCCTCCCTGCTGGCAGAGGGCCCTCTTCAGCCGCCTCTTTTCACAAATCATGGCGGAACCTTGATATTCTCAGGACCACTCAACCCAGCCAAATCTAGGGGGGTGGGGAACATGTTCAAAAGCAATCGAGGAGGGAGAAAGAGTGGGCAGAGCCTGACAGACACACACATTCATAAGGCTAACAGCCCTTACTTCCGTGAGAAATATAATTTTTAGCACATAGATTTTAGGTCCAATCGGAAATGTCCCCTCAAAATAGAATTATTTTTTTTTAAAGAGTTTTACTTTGTTGGTTTTTTTAAAAAAAAAAAAAACCACAACAAAGTGTACTCAGTCACAAACAAGTCGGTCTGTTGTTACCGCACTACAGCCCCACTCCAACTGGGAGGCTACAGGGTGGAGAACTGGCCAGAGCACAGGGATCAACTGGGTTTCCGCCCACCCTTCCCACTGCATCCCGCCCGGCAGGACAGTGTGTTTGCAGGAAGAAATTCACGCCAGAGTTTGGCAAGACTGAACACCTTCATACAGAAGCTGGGAGGAATTTGAGCTAATTTTAAGGATAAAAACAAAAATTAACCCAGGGTCTTTCACTGAGGTCAACCAAAACTGACCAGGAGTCCCGCTCCAGAGCTGGTTCATACCTGAGGTACGCTGAGGTCCATTTCTTCAGAGCCGGCCAGTGGCTGATGGCATTCTGAATTACACAAGGTTTATTGGGGCTCACCCATTCTCGATAAAACTCCAGCGGGGACGGAGGCCTATCGAGATAGGGCACGGACTCCATCCACCCCAGCTCTGTCCAGGCAAGCGAGAAACAGGTTTTTTTACTCAGTGTCCCCGAGAGAAGTGCCCTCTGCCAGACACTAACTGCCTTCAGACCCCACACCCCAGGCGCTCAGCTGAAAGCGAGTGGGGTCTGTGTATGTGTGCATGTCCCGGCTCCAGAAATGGCTCTGTTAAAACCCGGGGGCTGTTACGGAGGGTTTCTGCGGCAGAGGGATCCCTCAGGCCTTCGCCCTGCTCTCAGCCACAGAGGCGGCCGCGCCGTGGGCCCAGAGGAGAATGGGCAGGAAGGACGTATGTTACAGGAGATGCACCTCTGATACAGGAGGTTTTTGGAAGCTGGGCTAACGTGCTTCGTTTTGCTATTTTCTACAAAAGGCAAACAACCTAAAAGGGCCGTTTTCTCGAGTTTCATTTTCTTTTTGCAGCGGCCTTTCACCTTCACCTCGGAAACGCCTGCCTGAAGACCGAGCAGGAGCCCGCATGCTCCAGTTCGACCCCGTTGCAGGCGCCATTTGCGGCCGCTGCGGCCCAGCCGGGACGCTCGGGCGGCCGCCGACC